TAAAGTTTTGAAACTCCAATAAGCGTAGAAAAGAATGAGGAGGCACGCGAGACAATTCAATTTCAAGAATTGTTGCAGCAGCATCGTTAGTGGTCTCTTGACCTGCCCACATTTTTCATTAACTCCAAATCCAGTTTAGTTGCATTTGTTGCACAGAATTATTTTTAGCTGAAGTTTCTTTTTCCTTTCCACTTCCACATTTCCCGAATTCATGAAGTCCTAGCCTGCGGCGGAGACTCTGGGAGTCTGGGTATCAGCTTTTACTCAGCCTTCAGTAAATAATCCGTCAGAGATCCACCCATTTGCTTTTCCCCCTTCCCTCTTCTGTGGGAGAAACCCTCCCCTGCCTTCTCTCCCTGGGCGGCGCGACGCGGATCTGAAGCGCCAGGATCTTAACTTCGTTCGCTGAAACTTGCTTTCTGCCAAGTAAGAGCCATGCTTCGAGTGATTGTAGAATCTGCCAGTAATGTCCCCAAAACGAAATTTGGGAAACCGGATCCTATTGTTTCTGTTATTTTTAAGGGTAAGGAAAAGTTTTCTTTTATTTCTGAAACCCTGTTTGGGGATGTTACAGTTTTGGGGTCATGTTCTTTAAAAGTTTGCATTTGGGCTGCTGAAAAAGCAGTCTTTTGCTTGAGTTGGGTTACTCGTACAGGTGAGGGGAGAGGACGTGTTTCTGTGGAGTGCATTGTACTTCCCCCAGGACTTTGAGATTCTTTGAATGAGATTCTGGTATTTTAGCTTCAAGAATGTGATTTCAGAAAGTCCTTGGGGGGAACAAAACGTATTTGCTAATCCCCAGACTAAAGGTATTGAAAAGGTCTGTGTTAGTTCAAAGTAAGAGTTTGGGCAGTTTTAGATGCATTTTGTATTTTTCTGCCTGAGATAAATGGGTAAAGGAGGAAAAAGGGCAATGCAACAATGGTCAAAGGCACCCTTGCTCCATGAAACAACGCCCTGTTACTTTTATTGTCACTGGCTTCTGAGACTGGGAAGTGGTGTGAAGTTATTACTTTGGATTAGGTTGTTTCAAGTCATTTTGTGCATCTTTGTAGTTCTTCATTCCTAGGAAGTTGGGGTGTTTATTGTAAGCTTTGTAGCTTTTAAATTGCTCACAGAGGAAAGAACTCTGAATGACAAGTCTGCAGTTTGGGAATTTCGTTTTGGTCTCGCTGAATGACCTTGGGGAAATGACTTTGTTTCTCTGGATTTCAATGTTCTCATCTGTAAAATGGGTGTGGAGGGTTTAGACTAGATCATCTCTAAGTGGCTCTTTCTAATTACAAAGGTAATTTTTCTATGACATTTAAGTACAAATGCAGCCCAGAGGGACAGGAGTGGTTGCCGTGAGCGATGGCACGTTCCCAAACATGGAAAGTGATTTCAGTGTGGCTGGAGTGGTGTGTCTGAATCTGGGTTTGGGGGCTTTATCATCTTCTGTTTGTCCGTGGTCATTGGTTAGATTGCCAGCTCCCACCTTGACGGG